TTTTTTTATATCAATGTCTTCTTTAGAAGCAGTTATAAATTCTTTTACTGCAGTGTTTTTTCAGATTGGGTTTCCTCCCTATGTTTCTGTAGTTGCCTCTTTACTTCAGATGCTATGAGTTCTGAGAGTTTTTTTTTATATTTCAGAAAAGAATTGCGCTCAGATTTCCTTTATATCTTTCTGCTGTTGCTTATACTATCGACACTATTAATTCATGCATTTGAGCTGAGCTAGTGTCCTCCTCACTTGTTCTGGGTGTGCACTGGGTTTCCTCCATATATTTCTGCATTTGATTCTTTAGTGCAGATGTCATTAATTCAGGGATTTCTTTTTTTATTTCCAATCTGAGGTCCTCTATACCTTTCTGCAGCTGTTTCTTTATTTCAGAAGCCATTGATTCATTGCTTTCAGCTGTGTGATTTCGAATTTGTTCTGTGTTAGTGTCCTCTGCACTTGTTACGGGTTCTGAGGTTGCATTTTGTTCCTTCTTGTCATTTTGTGTAGCATTGTCTTCTGACTTTTGTTGTAGATCTTTGTTTTAGTTATAACCTTCGCACGTACTGAAGTTCAGGTGCAGCTCTACAAAGTTTGGACTTATCCAGCTGTGCCTCGCTTGGGTCTGGCTGCTGTGCTCTGCTCCTTCCTACTGCTGCCCTTGAGGGTGAACCTGTTGTGCCCCTGTGGCAAGATGTTCTGCTCCTGGACTAGCTGGGTGGATCTATCCTCTACACTCTCTGCAGGGATTGCAGCTGTATGGTTACACCCCAGGCATGTGTGCCAGATCTGAGCTGTACCTGGAGGGGGCAAGGTGGAGTAGGGTGGAGAGGAAGCTCTCCCTCACACTCACTCAGTCTGGGCTAAGACTGGGTCTGGGTGTTCCCGGAATGCTGCAGAAATTCCTACTAGGCAGGCGATGTGGGGGAGGTGCTGCTGAGTGGTGGGGGGCATCCAAGTGGGTGGGAGAGGGTCTCACCCACACTGCACCTGGGCTGGGACGGGTATTTGGTCTGGCCAGCGCTGGATAGCAGGAAGCTCTCCCACACACTCATCGGACCTGGGCTAGGACTGGGTCTGGGGGTTCCCGGAACTCGGCAGAAATTCCTACTTGGCGGGCGGGGTGGGGGAGGTGCTGCGGAGTGGTGGGGGGTGTCCCAAGGGGGTGGGAGAGGGTCTGGCCCACAGTGAGCCTGGGCTGGGACTGGTCCTGCCGGCACAGGGTAGCAGGAAGCTCTCCCACACACTCATCGCACCTGGGCTAGGACTGGGTCTGGGGGTTCCCAGAACACAGCAGAAATTCCTACTGGGCGGGCGGAGTGGGGGAGGTGCTGTGGAGTGGTGGGGGTGTCCCAAGGGGTTGGGAGAGGGTCTAGCCCACACTGCACCTGGTCTGGGACTAGTCCCACTGGCACAGGGTAGCAGGAAGCTCTCCCACACACTCACCAGACCTGGGCTAGGACTGGGTCTCAAAATATTCTTTCTTAATAGTTTCTTTCTTTTGCTTTTTTTTTTTGCGATACTGGGGATTTAACTCAGGACCTTGCATTTGCCAGGCAAGTGCTTATTCTACTGTGCTATCTCCCTGGCCCTTCTTAATATTTTCTTTTATCCTAACTTCTTACTCTTCCCTCACATTTCTTTATTATTTTAGTAATTTTAATGATTCTTATTTTCAGAAACCATAAATATAGACCAAAACTTTATTGATTTGTTAGAATACATTCTAGAAATAAATGACTCTGACCTGCATGGGTTTGCATGTGGAGATGCAGCCTACGTCATCTGAGTGCCCAGGCCTGCAAGCACAGCTCTGGCTGCAAAGTGAGCCCTAGCGCTGCACTTAGCAGTCTTCACTCTGTTTTCCATCACAACCAAATGGAGCCTACCACTTCCCTTGCTTCCAGTGACATTCCAAGCCCAAGAAGGAAGCAGATTTTAAACAAAATGATGCTTGACTATGTAGTGAAAGTCAGGAGAAATGCAGCAAAGAAAAAATGACTGGGTACTCTGGACCACAAATGGAACAAGGGCTACCAGGGAACACAGAAAGGCAAAGGAAGGGCAGTGACGCCCACCTGGGGTTCAGTGCATCCTGGTCCTGAGGTTGGTCTTTGTCATGAGAGTGCCAGAATCAGAATTACCATCATCCCTATGTAGCAATATGTTCACGAAAGACTTTGACAGGTTAGAAAGCTGTCTGAGGTTATGTAATAATTGCCACAGCAGGACTTTACTGTCAAACATGCAGATCACACTTCACCACTGCGATTGTGATCGACTCTGAAAGACTCCGGCAGAGAGCCAGGTGGCGCAGCAATCATGATCATGGAGACACGACATGGTGACAGTCTGGAGGCAGTGAACTGCAGAAGAGAGGCTGGACCTTGTGGATATTTAGGTCAGTTGCAGGAATATATTGCCACCTCTTCTAGGGACTAGAGTCATGGAAGACCATGCCTATGACCATGCTATCTGTACAATCTGCGTTTGTGGATTCAATTATCACTAAGGAGTATGAAGGAAAAAAAAAACCTACGTTACATTTCTGTCACATACTGATTTATTCTTTACAATACAAATATAGTTGGTTAAAGTACACAATATCCCTAGTTAGGTAAAATTAAGCAGAAAACAATGGTTACTTCAGACCAGTTTTCCTGTGTGCTAGTTATAGAATGTACTCTAGGGTAAGGACATAAATTAAGTTGGTTGTGATCATAAAATCAATTATTACAGTTCCTACAAGTACATCAGAAATAGTGTCTTAATTAAATCTGAAAATAACTAGAAGCTCATGTATGCACAATAAAATAAAGACCAATCATGCCAATGCTTTCATGCACAAGGTGTAAGGATATCTACAAAAACAGATGTGTAAGCGCAATCAGCTCAAAGTCTTTGTCCTCATATGAAAAAAACTCTTTGGCTTTTCCACTAAGAAAAAAATTAACATTATAAATAATTTACTTTGAATTTGCACATAAATGATCTGTTGTTTTACTGTTTTACATCTATTCTTTGGTAGAGGGGAATTGTGAGGTTGAACTGCTACCACAAAACTCTTCATCATGTTTACTTAATTCTTCAAACCAGAAAAGGTATCGGAAGGATTTACAGCTTATTGATAAAGTAATCTTTTAATATGTACAGACCTAGGTATTTGGGATTATATTTTACTTTCTCACAGACAATTCAGAAAGCAACTAAGGAATAGAATGTACATTACTGATAATTTATTCAGCCAAAAGTATGTTAATAAAAGTCATGCATATTTGTTCCAGGAATGTCATAGATTAATATTCCACATATTGTGCAGAAGTCATAATTTGCAGGAGAGTTGAAGACTGGGCATATTTACAAGGTCTCTTATGTTTATGGTACACAGTCTTAGTTTCTCACTGCAAGGCAGATGTAGCCTCTTCAGAGTACACATCCAGGAATTTTTATTTCAAAGAAGAAGACAAGCTGTCAAGTGAGGAAAAGTTACACTAAGCTCAACTTAGCGATCAATTCCTGAACCGAGATCATAGAATGCACACACATACACAAGTAAGACCTAACAGGATGAATGTTCTCACTGTGCGTCTACAGACTTGCTAAATCTTTTAGCATATGTGATTGAACATATTTTCCAAAACATTATAACAAGCAACAGCAGCAATTTAGGTACTAAGTAAATTATCCACATATTTAATTTCTCCTCAAATATTTTCCTATTGCTTGATATTATCTATACTAATAGAAGAATCAAGAACATACCTCTGCCCAAAATTCTGCATATATATCATTTGCCGTCAATTTTGTAACTGGCCACAGTTTTGTCACAGAACAAAGGTCACAGGCTGTCATCATCAAGCCGATTACACGATCTCTGGAATATAAGCAACCCTGGTCAGCACCACAACTGCACATTTGTATTAAGAACGGGGGGTACTTCTGATTGCGGGGTGAGGCTTCTGATGGCAGGGTGAGGCTTGTGCACGCATCACTTCACAACAGGAGAAAGACGGCAGCAAACAGTGGATCCAAGTAACAGCCAAAACAATAACATGGAATTAAAGAATGGCACAGCTTTCATTGTAAGCACATTAGTCACTTCCATCGTTAGTTCCATGGAGTGTGTTGTGTTTCTGTTGCCTCAATATTACCAAATATAATATTGGCTGTGTACTATTATCCGTACATCTCCTGGCACACTTAATTGCTATGGACCAGTTTCATTTTCATGAAATTCTGGAAATTGAAAGTGGGAAATTCTTCAGAGAAAATGTCTTAATTGTTTCATTCTATATAAGGAAAATCTGAGGTGTACAGAAATAATATGACTCCTGCATAGAAGCAATGGCCGGGATTAGGCCAGAAGATGCATGCTAGGGGCTTCCCTGTCTTCACTGGCAATGAGGGTGAAGGGGAAGCACCCTTTTAAGAGTTTTCCAAGTATTTTCAAATTCTTACTTTTCAAACAAAATTCACTTCTTTTTCAGCTGCTTAGAATGCTCGCAACTATATGTTTCATGTCTATTTCTTCTAAATACGATTGAATCTTTTCTCCTAAAGAAAAATAATAAATGTTTTCAAGATTTAGGCATCTCCACTATAGATTAACTGGATCCAGTAGTGAGTGATACATACTTACCCTGGCCTAAATGAAGATTACATTTAAGGGGGAAAACTATGCAGTAGTTATAAGGAATTTTAGGATACTAACTTTGATTTTCACAAAAGAAATTATGTATTTTAAAAAGACAAATTATCATCAAAGATCTGAAACTGTAAAAAGTGAAACAATGTTGCAATCTACAGTTCACACTAAATTCTAATGAACCTGAGGGACACACTGCTGTGAGCATACTTCTCACCTCCTGGGTCTGTGGATACTTTCCTCAGGTGGCCAAAATCCTGCCCCAAATCCCAAGCCTGTCCTAACCAAGGGAGACAGCAAAGAAGGAGCATCTACCTGTCAAGCCAGCAGAGAATTCTGATCCAACTGTGCTCTCTAATGACAAGGTTCTGCTCTCAACAAACTGGGTCTACCTACTTTCCATTAGCCCATTTCCTCTAGTCCTTTGAACTAAAGTCTTTTACCTCATTTTCCATAAAGAAATATTCTAAGACTGCATCTCATAAATTCTCTTATGGATTAGATTAGATTAGATGACTTAAACACACTGATTAGACTTGACAAGTACCCCTTCCTGGAACCCCAAAGAGGTACAATGAAGATCCAAATCCCTTAAACTGCAGCAGTTTGTGGCTTAAATAAAGAATATTTTTGAAGTGAATTTTCTAAAGGTCTAAGAATATTAGCTGTTTTCTCAAGGTGTATCCATTTAAACAGAAAAGGAATGTAAAAAAAAAATTACTCTGTTTATAAATAATTTCATGGAATAAAATTCAATCTCATTCAATCTATATTAATGCACAAATATTTCTTTTTCTTTGCTAAGGATACAGCTGGCTATAACCTCAAAAGAAACTTATTTCATACATCTGTAAAACAAAATAAATATTAATAGAATTGCACATTAAACAACATATGAAAGAAACTTTCCTGTTAGAAATCATCCCACATATAAGGGTGCTACTACAGGAATTGAAAAGTTTATGAAATAGTTACTGCAGTATTGAGATTCTGCTGTCAAAATTACTTTGAATGAAGTGAAAGGATTATAAATCCAGCATGAAATGATTTTTGTAAATACAATTACTCATTTTATTTTCAATTAAAAATCAGGTAGATAATCATGGTTGTCCATAATGATAACATTAAGTTAGAATTAATGTTTTATTTATGTACATAAATGGCATATAGATGTAGCTTATATAGTTAATTCTTAAATGCACCTTAACAGCCAATTGGGAAAGGAATGGAGTTTACATAAATATACTCTTGGGACAATCTCATACAACCTAGTCACTAAAAATAATGAAGCTAGACTCCCCAAAATGGCTATGATACAAATGATTCATAGTTCAGCAATTTTAGAGGCTTTGATACATTTACTCTAAAAGAGTTTAAATGCCTGTATGTACCAGGCAAAGTTACAGCACTGAACAAAGTAGGCCTTACAGTTACAGAATATTCTCAAGGGAAAAGGCAAACCACAGGTACAAAAAATTCATGTAGAAACAATGCTGTGTAAAAAAATACAAAATAGAAAAAAGCAGAAATAACCACAGGAAGACCCATGAGAGGGTGCTAGCAGGGAGGAGGGTGAGAGGGCCAACTGTGGGGATAAGCACAGCCTGCCTGGGATGAGAAGAAGATTCTGGCTGAGCTCTAGAGATAGACTGAGACAAGTAAGGCAAAGAGATGGGCTGGAGATGAGCTGGGAGTTTAACTTCTATTCCAAGCTTGATAGTAAGACACAGGAGGCTTCCCAGAGGAGTGACACAATACATTTTAGAAAGGATGGCTTAGGGCCACTGGCTGGAGGATGACCTGGAAAGCTGTAAAGACTAGGGCAGATTCTGAGAACAGTGCAGAGTTCAGATTGGAGATTGTGGTTTAATTGCAGCGACACTTGTGGAAATATTAATGGGATGACTGTGGCACTAGGGCCAGAGCCAAATTGAAATGTTTAGTATCTGCAGAAACTAAAATGAGAAGACATGGCTCTCTCCAAGGCTTTACTTCCTTTGTACTTCACCCAATCCACTATGTTTCCTGGGTGGATAAGCAGAAATGAGGCTCTCTTAGTAGATATGTAGGACCTTGGACTTGGCAGGAATGGTGTCTCTCATGGGGTAACACTTTCATCTTCTCCGTGCACTTTGAATTCTCTTCTTACAATAGAGGTCACAGAACTTGATAAAGTGGAGGGGAAAAAAGTTACCCAGCCCATAGGAGTTCTGAAGAGCTGCTAACGGGCCAGAAGGAAGCACCCATCCTATACTTCCATTGAGTTCACCTTCCAAGAATACCAAGTCATGGGAAAAAAGTAGAAACAGCAGCAGCAAAGCATGGCAGGTAAGTGACCTTACAAAAAAACATCAGGTAGAGGTGTGAAGACGAATATAGACTGCATGCTCGTATGATCATGACAACTGCTCTTTTTTGTTTTGTTTAAATTAGAAAAGAACTTCATTTGTGGAAGATTTTTTAAAAATGGTTTTATACTTCAAAGTATGCAATAAATTTTGACACATTAACCTTAATATATATTTACCATATAAGATGTTTAAAAAGAATGTCAAAAAGCTTGTAATCAAAATGAATTGATAACTTGGTATTTATATGGAATAAGTTCAGCATTACACATATAAAATAAAATGAATGCCATGTAAATTTTCACTTGTAATATGGTTTTATGTTTGTTAAATTTGATGAGACGGCATGAGCTAGAGTTCTGTGCTGGGGATTTCTAGGGACGTGTGACATCTTCGCCTCTCAGAAGGATCCTCATGGCTGCCTCGGAGGATGTCCCAGAGAGCTTTCTGCCAAGGATGAGGCTCTAGAAGAAAGGGGAAGGCTGGGTGGCAGGGGGAATCTGGTCTCCTACCCTTTAGACAGAGCTGCAGGATGGTGCAAGCCTTGTCACTAGGTGGAGAAGACTTGGCACTTTCTGAAGCTCTGATGCCTGTGGGATTCCACAGAAGTGATACAACTGCTCTTCTGTGTGCAGACCAGGATCACAAAGGCAGGACAAGAGCTGCAACATCTTTGCTGCTCTCTGGGCCTGTGCAGAACCCTCTGAGGAGTGTCCTAACTGACAAAATGGGAACTGATACTTTACATGAGGGGAAAATAAGACCTGTGGTGCTACAGGGGTGCTCAGGGATACTGCACTTGCCTAGCAGAGGGGGAACTCTGGTTTGATTACCAGGCCTGCAAGGGAAAAGACGTACACAGCCCAAGCAAAACATCATGTTTTTACTTCCTTAAAAAAAAAAAAAAACAAAACAGATGCTATCCCAAGAAGAGTCAGAGGACTACAGGCAGGGACTGTAATAAATCAACAACAGAAGGAAGTCCCTGCTTCTGAAGAGGCAAGGGAAGAGAGAGGCAGGAACCAGCAAGGGCCACACCTAGAAGATGCCACATCACATGCCACAACAAAACATGGGTGACAGGGACGAGGTCAAAGAAGTTCTCCCCTTCCACTTCCAGACATTGCACCAGCAGCTGAACCCCCTGCAGCATAGGTTACTCCTCAGAGACAGATAACAGAAAGCTGCTGTTCACATGTGAACTGACATGTTGGTCCACTTAAATACCAAGCTTTACAATTCATTCAGGTGGCAATATGGCACTGAAACAGAATAGTTTTTAAGCCTAAATTTAAAATAAGAAAATTCATGGCATTTGTCTTTGTGGACTCAATTTAAGCTGTCTGAATAGTCCAGCACAAAGCTGCCACATAATATATGGAGGGAAAAAAGCAAACCCTGTTCATCTTAAATGTCATATTTAAATAAAAAGTTGGTTAAAGACAAGATTTCTCTTCATTCACTTGGGTGTTTTATGTCATAATCAATATTTAATAAATTGTCTGTTATACTGGTTTCTTGAAATTTCTTTTGAATAACCTACCTGTGGAGGACCACCTGAGCAGCTCTCCTTGAAAGAAGAGCGACTGTCTCCATTTTGACTGAGCCTGACCCTATTTCCTCATATTATGTATAGAGCTGGCTAGGTCTTCTGTTTATCCTCCAACTGGCCTTAAGCAATGTGTATTGGTCTAGCTGAGGTGCTGGTGATAAGTCTTTGAAGGTGGTGTGCACGTTTCCCTGGTAATCTACACCTGCTGCTCTTTAATGTGAGCCAGGTCAAGACAGGACGAAGAGCCAATGCTCCACGCCACCAGCTAGGATCAAGCCTTGAGATAGACAGAGGCTATGACTTCCTGGAGCTTGAAAGACTACATCAAA